TTCCAGTCTCTTTGCTGTGGGGAGACCAAACTCTCCAGTGGAAGGATTCCAGGGAAAATCATGGAGTTTCCATTTCACTATTCAGGAATAACCTTCATAGAAGAGAATGGTCCAAACCTTAATTACAAATGGTCCAAAGCTGCAGACTTCACATCACCCAGTTCTACACACTGAAAGAAGTCACAATCTTGAGTTCTGAATCAGTTTTACTTCCAGTTTAAATTTCCAGCATGTGTATCCCTCTGAAAAACACCACTCTTTACTCCAAATTTAAAGATGCCTTCCCTCTTGACCAACGGAAGTTCTCTGCTTGGCTGATGTGATTTTTCAATTGACTTTCAGCAGAGAATTTCCTTTGACCAGGTTGTTATGTCCTTTCCGACACATGCCTGACCTTGAATTAAATAAATACAAGCTGCTTTTCCAGGATGCACATTCTTCACACTTTCAAATTACTTTTCGGTTAATTCTATTACATGGTCAATGAACAGAGATGTTGAATGCATTTTTTTTTTTTGTTTTAATGGACTTCAGAACTGGTCCTCCAGAGGATACAATAATTATACAGCCCTGCAAAGCAATAACACTGGTGGCCAGAATGGAAAAAAAAAAAAGAATCTTTCTTCTGAACATGCGAGAAAGGGCTAATTATGTCATCACGGTACGGTACGATTTGTGCTGAAATCACCAGCTACGGCTATTAATGTGAAGTAACTGTAGCACACAAAGCACTGTAGGGTTTCCCTCCCCCAAATATATTAGACTTCACTTTTTTGTGCTTATTAAAAATGAAAAAGGTCTAGCCTGATGTCATAACACCACAAACAGTTGTGTTGCGTTTTGTTTCCTTCAAAACTCAGCATTGCGTGCTTACTGCAGGCAAATTTAAGGGCTGCAGGGATTCTATGCAGGTGCACAATATGGGGGAGAGTGTGAAGAGCCTCCACGCCCATTGCTTGTCCCAGATAATGACCAGAGCAGCACAAGGACTGTTCTTTCCTAACTCCATGGTGCTCTGGGCCATGGTTCCCCAACAAGCACCAGCCTGTGAAATTCACCAGCGTGAATAAATCATGCCCCCTGAGCAACGTAAGTTACACTGACATAAGAACTAGTGTGAACAGCGCTATGTCGGCAGGAGAGCTTCTCCCACCGACATAGCTACCGCCACTTGTGGAGGCTGGAGTAATTAAGCTGATGGAAGAGCTCTCTCCCATTGGCTTAGACCACCTACATTAGAGAGTTTACAGCAGTGGTGCAGCTGCACCCCTGCAAACTTCTTGGGTAACCATTCCCTCCGGCAGCAATGCTGGACCCTCCTACTGCCTATTTTAAATGTTGGCACCTTGGTCTGTCTGATGAGTGATACCTTATCATGCACAGCCTACCTTGGCGTGCCCAGAGGATGTAGGATTTGAGATTTCACAGTGATATGGGTATGGCTACAGCTGAATTTTTAGTTATGTTTCAAATCTAGTCTAGACAGGTGTGATGGGGTCTTCACCCCACACTATCCCGGAGAGGGTTATTGTGGCCAAGATGGGTTAAGTAACCTGATAGACCATCCCGAGCGGGAATTAGCCTTGATGATCAAGCACTGAGTGGGGATGAAGCCCAGCTGGGCAGGGGCAGGCAGGGCTGGTATAAGGTCAGGAAGCGAGGGCAGGACATGGTAGTCCCTCTTTGGGCTTAGAGAGGGAAAGGAGAAAACTTGTGGGAGAGTAGAAGCCTGGGATCCTGGGCCTAAAGGAGGGGTTTACTCACAAGTGTGGTAGAGCAGAAGCCTGATAGGGCTGGAGTAGGAAAAGTCTCAGGAAAACAGCAGCAAGGTTTGGCACAGCGCAGACCTTAGCCACTGATCCTTGAGCTGGAACTTTAAGCAGTGGAATAGTCCCATGGGACCTGCTTAAAGTTAGGCATGTGCTTAAGTATCTTGCTGAAATAGGGCTTAGTTATGCTTGTGTCAATTCAGAGTCAATCCACTGAAATCAACTGAGCGACTCTGGATTAACACTGACATAACTGAGCCTAGAATTTGGCTAATTATTATTACCTTTCAGACAATAATGTCTCCGCTCACTGATGTACATACTGTATGTGTTTTGAGTCCATACAAATATTTATTATTTACCTATAAGGCCAGCTGAAAATTTTGTAGTTTAAAATAGATGATTTTTCTGTGATTGTGCTTTTGCTGCTCGGCATAAATCTGCAGGCTAAATACTTAACACTGCAGCTCTTAGTCCTGTGAATAGAGGCTACAGGCCTGGGCCATAATTGTCCAAAAAGCCCCAAATCGAGGGAAAGTATGCAAAAAATCATCATCAAAAGGCAAAACTCAAAGTTCATAGGCTCAGTTCCACCATTTAAAAAAAAACAACACTTAAGCACTATAAAAATTACTAGACTGACTTTCTCTCCCTCTCTCTCTTAAATGTGGTCAGAAATATCAATCACAAGCAAAGATTTTGGATGCCAATTTTCTGCCCAGAATGATTTTTTTACAGCTAAGTTATAAGCCTCTGAAAATAGGAGTTTATGATGAAATCACTGACAGACTCTTGGCTAAAGTGCAGTTGCTGTATATATACATATCTAATTTCATGAAAGGCAATTATACATCTGTAACTTTAACATTGCTCTGTTATCTTCATCTGATATACATTCAGACCCTTAATTGAAGTAAATATGATGGCTATCTGTCAAGTGCTAACTGGCAGGGCTCCAAAATCTACTAGGTGATTTAATACAGGTTTTATAATCTGAAAAAGCTGTTGAAACTTTGCTAAAGCTCTCTGAAGTACAGTGCTAACATTTGGAATGGGTAGTTAAAGTTCACTGCTTTCCTGTCAGAAAGACCCTAAAGAACTCTAGAAATGTTTGTTTGCCCCGAGAAAAGGATTCAGTACAAAATGCTATAGATGAAACACTCTAGAATCAGGGGAAATTGGGATTCAATGCAGATTCTGTCAATATAGATATTTACAATGCACTCATTGCTGTGATAGTGAAGTACCTAAGTACTCCTAAGACTACCATGACATAATGAGCGGATAAAGTACAAGAAGGGGACTCAGGTTCTACTCCTCATTCTGCCACTTATCTGCTGGGGACATTGGGCAAGTCAATGTACCTCTGAGCCTCAATTTTCCTACCCTTGAAATGGGGACAATTATTAGAACTGAGTGAATAATAGATTTTTCGGTTCTGTAGTCAAACCAAAATAAAAATAAAAAAACAAATTTGTTTTGGTTTGACCCAAAACAGAAATTTTTCATTTTTCTTGCTAAAACAAAAAAAGCAAAAATGTTTTGTTTCAGGTTAAATGACTTGTATCGTGCAACCCAAAACAAAATGTTTTATTTTCTTTGTGGATATTTTTTAATTTTTATTTTAATAAAGTAAGCCTAGCTAAATTTCTGAACAAACCAGTGTTTCAAAATGAAAAGTCACAACCTTTTGTTTAAAAAATGTTGAAATGAAACGTTTGGACTTTTTCCTTTTTTTTTCCCCATTTTTTTTTAGTCAAAACTATTTGCTAAATTCAACCCAAAATCACAAATAGTTTTGGTCAATCCAAGCCTGTATTTTTTGGTGAATAAACTACTAGTCTGAAAATTTTTGCTCAGTTCTAATAATGGTACTGATTCCTCCATGGAAAGCTCTTTGTGATGTACTGATGAAAAGCATTACGTGAGAGCCAGGTATTATTATCTGATGCAATAATATCTGATAATCTGCTTACAAGTTGTCTGTGTCTGTATGATGGATGTGGCCGAAACCTTGCATCCAAACTCCACTGAACTCTGGGGAGATTCTTCTCCAGATCCATCTCTATATCCAAAATTTGTAGGCAAGATCCATTTCTAGTCAAGGAGCTTAGGTCACAGTGTTCAACTTGGGTACTTAAAATTAGCCTCCTAAATCTGTACCTAGACATGTAAATAAAATGGCTTGATTTGTAGGTGCATTGAGCAGCCTCAACCCAACTGACTTCACTGAGAGCAGGATGGAGTGCTAAAAAACCATTTGTAAGTGGCTTGAGGTGACACTATTTCATAGCAAAATGATAAGTAAACAGTCCTTCCTTAGTCTTCCTTCTTAAAGGTGTTGGTAAGGGATATGTTCTTTTTCCTGGAAGAGGAATTCTCAACTCTTGTTCTAAAATCTTAGGCTATATTCAGTATAGACGAGCCAGACAAGTATCCAGCTGCTGGTGAACACTCACCAAACAATGTTTCTTTGTTCCTTTTTCCAAAGGCAGGTGAAATAATTTCTGAATTACGCAGCTTGCTTGCATTGTACTAAATAAAACTCACTTAATCTGCATGAAAGGGAAACGGGAATCCCCGCTGCAAATGCTGTATTACAAAGACAAGTCCCTCTTTGAAAATTAATGAACATTAAATATTTGTATTGTCAACTGAAGATTTGTTGTCTGGAGATTGGTTGTCCTGTTTTTTCATGGGTAGAATGAGAGTGGAGAAAGGATTTAAAATAAATATTGAGGCTAGTAACCATGCATAGCAAGGACGAAATGTTAAGAGTTAAGATGCCTATTTTTGCTATCATAGTTCCTCTCTGATTACAGTGATATGCTACATTTGGTCTCTGTTTGTCAGGCAAAAGCAGCATTATTAAATGGCTGCAGAGACACAAGGGAATTGTTCTTAGTCCATCACAGTGTTTGCTTTGAAAAATTCCAGCCAATTGGCTACAAACACTTTCCTTGCGTCGGGATCATTGCAGAACTTCACAAATAATTTGCTGTTGTTGGCTTTCTTTTTTCATAAACCTGAAAGGAGGAGGGTGCACATCTGGCTCTCAGAAACAAGAAATGATGAACTGACACATCTAAGTGCAATACTGGTGGTCTGAAGTCTGACATGCTGCATCAACCACCACAGAAGATTCAAGGCCTGTTCAGTGTATGTGGTTAGAAGCAAAAGTCCCCACCCAGACAACCCAGAGTCACTTCACCCCAGAGAAGAGGTACTCACATGCAATGCGAACATAGGCCTTTCGACTCTTAGTAGTGCCGGCAGAGCTCCAAGCGACACACTGGCACCAGTAATCTTCAGGTCCAAACAGTTCTTCCACCTGCTGACGGGAAATCTCAATGCTCACTTCCCGAACAATCAAACCTGTCAGGATACAATTAATATCCCGAGTGTATTAGAGTTGGTGAAGCTATTGTTCAGAGTAATATATTAGAGTGTGCTTGTAAAACTCTTATGAGCCCTGGCTGATCATCTACCCAACAGCCCTTATCATGAGGAGAATGTTAAGAAAAACAACAACATTTTACTCACCCAACATTATAGGTGAGTGAATATTTTGCAAGACTCATTTATATCATGCATACGTGCACACACACACACACACACATTATACATATAAACATAGGGCAGGTCCTCAGCTAGTGTAAGCCAGAGTAGCTCCATCGCTTCCATTTCCCATTGACACCAGGTGAGGATATGGCACAGTAGAATTTTAATATGAAACATGCTTCCCATCTCACACTCTTGGGAGCTGTGTAGAAACACAAGTCTCCTCCTTTAAAAAAAAAAAAATCCTCCTGTTTGGGGATTCTGATGGACTGAAGTGCCGATGGAGCAACTCTTGTTCACTCTAACACTTAATTGTGCACAGCACCGTGGCTACACCCCCCATAAAAACAGAACAGGTGCCTACACTAATGGTCTCACACCTCACAGTATGATTATTGTAAGCGGTATTGTTTTGAACAATACATAGAATCATAGAATATCAGGGTTGGAAGGGACCCCTGAAGGTCATCTAGTCCAACCCCCTGCTCGAAGCAGGACCAATTCCCAGTTAAATCATCCCAGCCAGGGCTTTGTCAAGCCTGACCTTAAAAACCTCTAAGGAAGGAGATTCTACCACCTCCCTAGGTAACGCATTCCAGTGTTTCACCACCCTCTTAGTGAAAAAGTTTTTCCTAATATCCAATCTAAACCTCCCCCACTGCAGCTTGAGACCATTACTCCTCGTTCTGTCATCTGCTACCATTGAGAACAGTCTAGAGCCATCCTCTTTGGAACCCCCTTTCAGGTAGTTGAAAGCAGCTATCAAATCCCCCCTCATTCTTCTCTTCTGCAGGCTAAACAATCCCAGCTCCCTCAGCCTCTCCTCATAACTCATGTGTTCCAGTCCCCTAAGCATTTTTGTTGCCCTTCACTGGACTCTCTCCAATTTATCCACATCCTTCTTGAAGTGTGGGGCCCAAAACTGGACACAGTACTCCAGATGAGGCCTCACCAATGTCGAATAGAGGGGAACGATCACGTCCCTCGATCTGCTCGCTATGCCCCTACTTATACATCCCAAAATGCCATTGGCCTTCTTGGCAACAAGGGCACACTGCTGACTCATATCCAGCTTCTCGTCCACTGTCACCCCTAGGTCCTTTTCCGCAGAACTGCTGCCTAGCCATTCGGTCCCTAGTCTGTAGCTGTGCATTGGGTTCTTCCGTCCTAAGTGCAGGACCCTGCACTTATCCTTATTGAACCTCATCAGATTTCTTTTGGCCCAATCCTCCAATTTGTCTAGGTCTTTCTGTATCCTATCCCTCCCCTCCAGCGTATCTACCACTCCTCCCAGTTTAGTATCATCCGCAAATTTGCTGAGAGTGCAATCCACACCATCCTCCAGATCATTTATGAAGATATTGAACAAAACCGGCCCCAGGACCGACCCTTGGGGTACTCCACTTGATACCGGCTGCCAACTAGATATGGAGCCATTGATCACTACCCGTTGAGCCCGACAATCTAGCCAGCTTTCTACCCACCTTGTAGTGCATTCATCCAGCCCATACTTCCTTAACTTGCTGACAAGAATACTGTGGGAGACCGTGTCAAAAGCTTTGCTAAAGTCAAGAAACAATACATCCACTGCTTTCCCTTCATCCACAGAACCAGTAATCTCATCATAAATGGCGATTAGATTAGTCAGGCATGACCTTCCCTTGGTGAATCCATGCTGGCTGTTCCTGATCACTTTCCTCTCATGCAAGTGCTTCAGGATTGATTCTTTGAGGACCTGCTCCATGATTTTTCCAGGGACTGAAGTGAGGCTGACTGGCCTGTAGTTCCCAGGATCGTCCTTCTTCCCTTTTTTAAAGATTGGCACTACATTAGCCTTTTTCCAGTCATCCGGGACTTCCCCGGTTCGCCACGAGTTTTCAAAGATACTCCACAACAAGGGTGTACTCTACACTACAGTATTGCACACCACTGCGCTCTGCATTGCCCCCTAAAACATACCTTCCCACATACCCTCTCATAATGCAATCCTCAAAAATCTGCAATGACAACAACAGTGATGATAACCTGTCACTGCCATTACAAACCTAGCATTTACCCGGTTACCACACAGTGCTATCTAATGTGCAACATTTTTGCCTATTCTAAGTACAAGGAAATATTGTGGTATCTCAGATACTACTGCAACACCTGTTGGTTAGATGCTGACTTTTTAACACCAATTGACATACTCCGTGTTTTGCATGATCCCACCCTTACAATTCACCAACCCTGTGAAAATGCTCTTCTCTTCAGTTTTAAAATGGCAGCCAAGGTATGGGGGGGGGGGAGGGGGAAATCTATGCACCACTTTTTAACATAGTTGCACTGTGTTGCTGATGCCAAAGTCTCAATAAACTTGTAGAGTGTGTCCATCCATAAAAAAAATCATCATTTCTAAAATGTCGTCCAACAAAGGACCTTAAGTATATAAACCTCACATACAAATATGTTGTATAGCGTGACTGATTCTCTTTTTCCTTACTGTAATGCCAGGAAATTTAATTAAAAGATACTTGATCTTAGTGTGCATACTTTGTCCCCATCACTGAGTAACTAACACAGGGTTATGCGTCTTTCCGCTGAACACAGACTTTCAGGCCAGCTACCCCCCAGCCTCTTACAACATGAATTACAAGGTGATATTCATAACATGAATGTTCCCAATTGTACAGCACAGAGCGCACTGCATGCTCTGGAAACCAAGCAAACCCTTGATTTTGCTTTCAGCCTCATAGAGGCTCTATTCAGGAAGGTGATGATTAATTAATATTTGTGCACAGTTGTATACTGTCATTTATGCTGCACACTCTTTCCATCCAAAACTCGGTTAACAACGTAACATCATAAAAAACAACAACAGGAATTGAAGCATAAAATATCATACAGATTTTTGGTAGGAACTCTTTATAATCAGATGCATTTTCCTGCTAGGTATTATATAGCCTACTATCTTTTTAATTTCCTTATCTTTGACATGTTTGCCCAGGAAATTATAAGCTATTTTGAGGAAAAGACATACTAGCTTTTCTCCTTGAAACTAAACACTCAAAATTTGGTTGCTGTACTTAGACGAAGTAAAAACAAAATACGGCATATATATTTGGAAATGTGGCAAACACCACCTTCGAAAACTGCTTTGCTTTGAAGAGCTCAATTGTCTCCAACAGTGGTCCAGGGCTGTTCATTGTCCTGTCTATGAGGGAAAAATAGCTTTTATGTACAGGATGTGCCCAAAACAGGTTATGTTTTCACAGTGCAACTGCTGCTAGTCTAAAGATCTCTCACTTCAGTCCATTTCCACTTTTTTATAGCCTCGAGAGCCTAGCAGTTACAATATTATGTTTTTACAAAGAGGCTGATTATAATGGAATTTGATGGAGCAGAGAGTTAGGTTACTATATGGCTAAAGCAAGTAGTCTTAAAATTAAAGGACAGTACTGGTTAATAATGATTTCAAAATGGACTTAAAATTCTGGATGCAAATGCAGTTTTCTGATATGTTGAAGATATGAAATATACATCATGTCAATAACATCCATTAAATACCCTGGCATAACTTTTATCTCTGGGTTCTGAATACATTCTCCATTTAACAACAACAAGCTAGTCTAGGCACTGCTTTTCTGGGACTAACTGAATTGCTCACAGGCTTCAGGTTGTTTGAAGTCTTTTGGTCTCAGAAATTGTGTGGTAGCCATCTCGAAGCACATTTTCTGTTCGTGTCTTATTGCTTAAAAGCGTGTGATCATAAATACAGTATCACCATATGGTTACGTTGTCTCTAAGCTAAACATTTTTTCTAGAATATATAGAAGATCAAATCAGTTTCTGAGACATCAGCTGGGACGATATGCTATATGTATAGACAGTGAATGTAGAAATTTATGGGCCAGATTCTGACACACTTAATTTTTGCTAAGTAGCACCTTACTCCATTAGGAACCACACTGATTACTTCTGGTGTAAGGTACTAAACTGTGTCAGTAAGCACTGGGGCTGACTGGCAGCAGGAGCCCCAGCCACTGGGGCTGACAGCGATTTCTGAGTAAAATTATTAACACTGACTCATGATCTCAGGATAGAACTCTCAAAGGTCAGGAAATCCTGACCTTTGAGTATTCTATCCCGAGTCATGAGTCAGGCTTCATTTTACTTTGAAATCGCATCTCTCACGATTAATTCACAGAGTTGGCATGTCTGGCAGAAGGTGACCCTGCATGATTCCTCCTGAACTTTCACAGACTGTAAGGGTCTGATTCTGCTGTCCTTGCCCTTACTCATGCTCAGTACTGCCTCATTTCACAAGGAGTCTCAGTGATTGAAAAGGAATGTCTTACCTAGTAAAGTACCACTCGACCTAAGAAAAGGTGGCAGAATCTGGCTGTAGGGTCATACAACTAGGAATGGGGTAATTTTCCTCTGTGTTGTGACTGGTCAGAATCCTATTGGTGTCACGTAAAAAATAATCCCTACCACGGTCGCACTTTCTAATTGTTTTAGGAAACATTTAATTTGAGGTATCTCAGACAGCAGCTGACCTATTATCATGCTGAAATGATGCTATATAGATCCCACAGAAGACCTGGTACAGGTTCTGTACATTCACCCAGTACAGTACTGCTTAAAAACCTCACCGGAGAATAATTATAGCATGATAACCTTGAGAGGAGGACTTCTAAGAGAGATCTTGATCTTACCACTACTGTAGGTGCTTCTACTATTCAGTCACAGGAAACAGATTGAATTCATTTCATAACGTTCCTCATGAGCCACCTTCTGCATTACAAATGTCGTTCTAAGGACTCAGTTGATTT